AAGAGGTAGAGGGCAGAATAAAGGTGCCAAGATGGATGCCCAGGGGGAAATGCAAGTTTCTATGCATGACTCAGGTATGCAGGCACATACCTACCTATGCCTGTGTGTATGTGCATATGCAGGCAAAGGTATGTACCTGTGTGTGCTTGTATTTGGGAGCATATGTGGGAATGCATGGTGTGGTGTTAAGTATTTGAAATCAATATTCTAAACTATGATATTTTGTAACAAAAGTAATAACCTTGGGCAATTTTCTGAAGCCTGGATGCTGTTGTGTTGATTCGTGATTTGGTTAACAGTAACCTAGGTCATTATAGGACAGGCTTCCTCAACTTCTCCTACAATCTCTATTTGACCAAGAAACTGACCCCTCACTGTGTGCAGATATAGACAGCAGAGAAATCAATCCAAGAAATTCATTTTAAAACAACTGTATGCATACAGTTTTGCCATTTATTAAAATATAAGTGAATTTGCATAATAACGAGATGGATGTGTTTATTTTTCACATAAATTAAACCCAGGCTGAATATTTGATGCTGCGGGATGCAGATTACCTTTGGTGTTTTCTAGAGTTGATTGATGAGTTGATTCTATAATTGTCAACGCTGAGAAAACCTCCTCAGGTAAATATACAGTACAGAGTGGCATGAGTGTGTCTGGGGAAATCTCAGTTGGAAATGCTGCCCTAATTCCAATCGCTGAAGCTTTTTTTTAAATGAAACTCAAGTCAGTAACTCAAATAGCAATTTAAAAAACCAAACATTCTAATATATTACAATACAAAGACATAGCAACTTACAAGTTGATACTTACAAGCTGAGAAGTGATGGTAGAAAAATCATTATCTGTTTTCCAGGCTGGGGAGATAGTACATTTGGTAGAATGCTTGCTATGTAAGAGTGAGAAGCTGTTTGGGTCACCTTTCACCCTCGTTAAAAGGTGGGTGTGGCAGTGCACACCTATGATCCAGCACTGTGGACAGAGGCAAGAGGATACCCAGGGCTTACTGGCCAGCCCACCCATCAGCTGGTGAGCTCCAGGTTCAATGGGAGACACTGTTTCAAAATGTAAGGTGGAGGAGGATCAAGGAAGACACTGGGTATAGACCTCCAGCCTCCACATATGTGCACACACAAACACCCAAAATCAAATAAAGAATAAAAAAAGTCTTTGCTTTCCACAGTTAAACTGTGTGTTCCTCTAAGAGGAGTGCAGTGTAAACACTGCTGTTCCTAGCACACCACAGTCCCTGACCTGAGCTGAGGTACATCAGGCAGCACCCATTGGCATTGCATGGCATTCTGGCATGCACAGGGCAAAGGCTTCAGGGAAGTCATTTGCTCAATATGGTGAGTGCTGCCCAAACCTCCTCTGCTTCTTAGGTGTTTGGTTTTTAATAAAGTTGGGGTCATTGTACATTCACAACCTTTTCCTGTTGTCAATTTCTTTCAAACCCAACATTCAGTATTGTAACCCACTTGTTTAAGAAATAATGTATGGTGGTATTTTATTTGTACTGAAGGGTGATTTTAATTGTATGTTAATAAATAAAGTTGCCCGGGGGTCAGAGCTATTAGAGCCATAGCAAGAGCGTGGCGGTGGTGGCAGCGCACGCCTTTAATCCCAGCACTTGGTAGACAGAGCTAGGTAGATCTCTGTGTGTTCAAGGATACAGCCAGCATTGGAGACACACGCCTTTAATCTCAATACCAACCATAGAAGACCTGGAAGTCTCTACAGACAGGCAGTGATGAGGCAGTAATGTGTTTTGGTTTACAACCAATGAGAAGGCAGAACAGCTAGACTATATAAAGACATACACACAGGAAGTAGGTCCCTTTCGGAGAGCTCTCTTGGCTGAAGCAGGAAGGGTAAGGCTATTAGTTCTGACCTCTTGGCTTTCTTCTCTGAATCGGCTCTGTGTTTCTTATTTAATAAGACGGTTGGTTACATCTACAGTAATGTTTTAGAGTTAGTAATTCTGAAATGTTAGCTGAAGATGAACAGGCATGCCTTCTGTGGTCTGCTTAGACTGAAATTCCATTAATACTGAAATTGGAAAAGAAAAGCTTTAAATTTATCAATTTAAAGGCCTTCTTCTCTGGCTATTCCTTTCCTGTCCACAGGCTTCTCATCTCCTTAATTTAATAGAACACTGGGGTCAGTGGAAGACAGTAAGAGGTTTGCTTAATTTTTATTTATTTATTGCTTGCTTATCAATAATAATGAAAGTTATCATTTTCCCCAAAGACAATTCCAACTTTTAAAATGAACCAATTTGTGAACTTTGAAAATTTGATAATCACAAAAATGATTAGTTTAGCAGAAATATGCTTATGAAATAACCCCCAGCCCCCACCAGCCCCACATTCCTTGGTACCCAGGGAGAAACTGAAGCACAGTGGAGTTAATCTTGGCATATGTGTTTTGAAAAAGCACATATGCTTCTTGGATGCTTCCCTGCTTGAGAACTTGTAGTGTGCAAGATGACGAGACACACACGGTCCACACCAAAGTATCGCAAGAAAGGTCTGTAGGCCACTTACTAATATTGCTCCCCTCTGGGACTCCTTGGGATGGGCTGTCATAATTTACACTGTGCTCAGCACTTCTATCTTCCATGTTCCGACTAGTATAGCCCACTTAGAGCACCTAATTGCTTTTCTAGTCCAAAATCCCAAAAGTCATCCATATTCCTGAAACAAATAACATGGTCAGACTTGCCATAGTTCACTCACAGTGACACATTTTCTCCAACAAGGCCACACCTCCTAATCCTTTCAAATGGTGACACTCCTTAGTGACTAAGCATTCAAATGTATGAGCCAATGGGGGTCATTCTTACTCAAATCCCCACATTCCACTCCCTGGACCCCATAGGTTCATAGCCAGATCATAATGCAAAAATGCATTCAGTTCAACTTCAAAAGCCCATGCCAAGTCCAACGTCTCTGATTCTCTCTTTTTGTTTCTCCCTGTGTGTCTCTCTCCTTCTCTGTCATCACTGTCTCTCTCTGTCTCTCTCCTTCTCTCTCTACCTACAGATTAGGATGTATGTAGTTCTTGGCTACTTCTCCAGCACCACACCTGTCTGCCACCATGCTTACCTCTGCTGTGCTCCCAGACATGATGATAATGGACTAACCCTCTGAAACTGTAGGCCAGCCCCCAGTTAAAGGCTGTCTTGCATAAGGGTTGCCTTGGTCATGCTGTTTCTTCACAGCAATAGAAGAACACTGACTAAGACAACAGCAAGACAGGTTCTTCACTCTCTGGTGATGTCTTTGTTCACATGGGTGCAATATCTGGGGGGTGCTCGGGAAGCTCTTTTCTCTGTACACATCTGCTAAACACCAAAGCTCAGGCTTCCTCAGAGTGGTGATCATGTTTCTTATTTATGGTGACTGGCTTCCCCAGAGCAAACACCTCAAGACACTCAGGCAGACACCATAGAGTTTCACATGACCTTACCTTGGAAGCACCAGAGACTAGTTACCTTTGGCATGCTCTGCTGGTCAGTGTCAGAAAGGCCTGCCTGTTGTTTTTAGCTAAGTTGTTCTTCTTACGACTCAGGAGTCAGACATTGGGGTGAAACCTGCTAGACTGAGAAGTCGAGAAGCAACCGGCTGACTTTCAGTTTTGGCTGGAGACCCAGCAAAGAACATCTCTCCACACCGTCCCGAATGAAAGAGACGGGAATCTCTAAGTCTGTCCCTACTCCTTACTGTGTCTCTCTGTCGGTATTCTTGACTCTTTTGTTCTCTCTATGGCTAATTTCTGTCAACTGGTTGCTGGCTCTCCCCCCTGATCCAAGGTTAATTTTATTAAAACACTCTCAGAGTTTCACAGTGTGATCAAATATCCCATAACACCTGCCCAAGATTCTAAAGAAAAGGAAACAGAGTCTGGTCTGTATCTGGGTGTCATTGGTGCGCATGGAGGGAGAACAGCTGACGGCCACCTAAAGCGAGAAGCCCACAGGGTCTGCTTAAAGGGCAAAGGGATTATTAAGAAAGGAAAACTCACAAGAGAGACCGGAGGAATTGTCGCAGGGTCCTGGAAAAGGTGAGACACAGTCCCACGCTGTGCGTGCTTCCTCGCCTGAGACTGTCCCCGCATCCAAGACCCATGAGGGAGCCAGGAGAGCTGTGTAAAAAGCAAACAGTAAAAGGCTGTGTAAAAAGCACGAAGAAAGACCACAAAATGGTTTGGACTCAACAGTTAACAACACAGGCTGCTCTTGCAGAGGACCCAGGTTCAGTTCCCAGCACCCCATGGCAGCTCACAACAGTCTCTAACTCCAGTTCTAGGGCATCTGAAGCTTTCTCTGGCCTCTGCAGGTACTTTGTGTACATGGTACACAGACAGACATCCAGACCAAACATCCATACACGTAAATAAAATGCAAAAATAAAGTGTTTTAAGGAAAATACTGAAAGATAAACTGGAGAGGGGCAGGCAACAGGAGAACAGTGAGCCCCAGAAACCAACCTACCAAAAAAAAAAGTACTTTAAGAAGGTGGTTAGTCAGGCCAGTCTGTTCCATCAATAGGCCGGCTGAGACACCACCAGCAGACAAAGTGAGGCTTCTGTCCTTGGTGCCCTTGGGGAGTAAAATGCCAGGTGGGTTCAGAACTGAGAAGTCAGTAAGTGGAGGGCGAGCAGGCAGGTGGAGGGTGAAGTGTTCACAGACATGGTATTCTTACCAAGTGGGAGCCTGTGACCCAGGAAGGTCCGTGTATATGGAAACACAGCCTGTGGTGTCTGCCAGCTCCTCGCCCTTCCATGTCAAGGCCATGGGTCTGTAGAGATGTCTTCTAAGAGATGTCTTCTAAGAGATGCAGAGGTCTTGGCCTCTCTTAATTCCCACTGAGACGTGTATCAAGGCTAAGATATCACCTGACCAGTAAAGATGAACCATTCTATAACCTCCAGAACAGAGACAGTCAGAGCATGTCCCCATTAAGCAGCTAAACAGTTGCAGTACCCCACTTACATTTTGTTGAACATGCAGACTTCCAGGCCGTCTTGGGATCCAGCTGTCAGAGCCTCCAGGAGCCAGAAATCCAGAATTGAACACAAGGTCTCCAGAAGGTTCGCCTGCGGGCTGTTTTGAGATCTCTTGAAAGAAGCCGAAACAAACACAGACTTGAAGATGCATCTCAGGGCTGGCCTCCTGAGGACCTTGGAATCACAGGTTGTTAAGGATAAAATGGATATTAGCAAGTGTCTAACCTGAAACTGACTAGATAGAACCTGTAGGCCTTGAACTGCAGTGATCCTCCTGCCTCCACCTTGGATAAATGGGCTTGTTCACCACGCCTGGATAGTGTTTGAGGATAGATTTGCGTTTGTTTTCTGCTACAAAAATCAAAGCAGATAGCTCGGCTCTGCATAACTCAGTCTGGCTCGACCATGGTTTGAGGCAGTTACAGAGGCGGCGCAGCTTCCCAGCCTGGGCAGTGAGCTTTTTCCAAGAACTGGGTTAATCCATCTGGGTCTTGGCTCGGGCCCTCACTTTTGCCCTTTCAAATTCCCTGTCTCTTTGGAGAGGTGGACAGTCCACTTTCTGAACGCGCTGCAGCTGGGGCTCCCTTTGCTTCAGCAGCGATTTAACCTTAAAATCTGTGACAGATGAAATTGATAGGCTCACCAAGAAAGCGCGGTTTTGACAGGCCGCAGACTCGCGGTGCCCCTGGTGGCGAAAGGCTGCGTTGCGCCACAGTTAAGGTAGCTTGTGAGAGTCCTGTTTAGAACCGCAAAGCCAGCTCCCTAGCAGCTTAGCTTTGAACACGCTGAGGAACTGCAATGTGTATTTCACAGCTCGTAGCGGGTCGGTTTACCTCAGTCCTCTGTGCAGTGAGTGCAGCCAGGTGGTAGCGCTCAGCATCCCCATCGTGTTTAATTGCTACAATTTGTCATTGCCGTTTGTGTTACAATCATGAATTAAGAAATGGATTCAGTTCTTTGGACTTCTCACAGTTTGGAATCGACGCTCAGTGCCTTACCTGACCGATCAGGGAATTAAAACCTGGTGGAAAGTGTTCTTCTTTCTTGCGATGGTGGTAATGGTTATGGTCAAGATGGTGTGTGTGTGTGTGTGTGTGTGTGTGTGTGTGTGTGTGTGTGTGTGTGAGAGAGAGAGAGAGAGAGAGAGAGAGAGAGAGAGAGAGAGAGAGAGAGAGAGAGAGAGGAGAGACAGAGACAGACAGAGACAGACAGAGACAGTGACAGAGACAGAAGGAGAGCCAGGGACAGAGGAGTCCGCGTGTGCCTGCGCGCGGTCTGCGTCTAAGTTTCTAAAGTCTCGCATTAAATTCTCAGGACCCCCTCCCTTCGCTATACCCCCAGAGGTGATCAGGACTCAAAGACGCGAAGCCTGAAAATTAAAGTGACTTTCGAACTCTCTCTAATGCAAAGATGGGGGATAAGTGAGAATTAATAAAAGTGCCCCCCCAAACAAAAAGGGGGCGGGGGAAGCGAACAAAAAGGCTGGTGGCTGAGCCGGATGCAGGCAGCTGGCCCTAAGCCCTGCCCGCTGGCTCTGAGCGCGAGCTGAGGTTCGGTATCCCAGCCTCCTGAAGAGTGGGAGGAGCTGGGCCTGTGTCAGGCTCCCTAAGCCGTTCCTTTCAAGCCTTGAATGCCTGAATGTGAGCTGCCCACCGCCCTCCCCCCACTCTGCAACCCCACTCCAGCGGCTCGTAAAAAAAAAAAAAAAAAAAAAGTTTCAACAACAACAGGCTGGACCAATAGCAGCGCGCAAAGCCCGGGAAGGGGGCCGAGCAAAGGGCGCCGGAGAGTGGAGAAAGGAGAAAGCGGGCAAGCCTGGAGCGCGCGGGGCCGGGGCTCGGCGAGCCGAAGGAGCGTTGCTAATGTTTTTGTTTGTTTGCTTTTCTATGCATGCATAATGAGGGGGCGCCGCGGCACCACACGGGGGCTCCAGGCCCATTTTTGTATTTAAAGCCTCGCGGCGAGCAAGTCGGAAGCCGGGCTCCGCGGATCCGCTCCCCAGGCTCCAGGTCCCAGAGCCGAGCCGCGCGCTCCGAGTTTCGGGGTCCTCCCAGCGCCCGGCGCCCAGAGCTTCCCGGAGCGTGGCCCAGGCCGGGGCGGAGGGGGAGGGGACCCGGCGGCCTGGCCGCGGGAAGGCGGGATGCGAGAGTTGCGAAGTGCTACGCGCCGCTGAGCCGGGGACCGAGGACTCGCCAGCTGCACGATCGTCTGCAGGCGCCGAGCACCATGCACCCCCGGCGCCGAGCGCTCCTGCAGCCTCGTCGCGGCCCTCCGGGGCGGCGTTGAGCACCTCCAGCCGCCGACCAGAGCCGGACCTGCGTCGCCGCGCCTCTCAGGGAGCCCTGGCCGCACTGCCGGAGCGAACACCCGCCTTTACCAGCTGCCGGGCCGCGGGCATGGATGGATGAGGACGCCCATGCCAGAAGTGAGCGGGACTCGGACAAACTTTTCCAGCGGCCCCACTGACGCCGCCCGCGCCTCATCTCCGCTCTGCACCGTGTCCGGCGGCCGCTGCTGCCCGCGATGCTAGCCGCGCTGCTGGGCGGCGGCGGGGCCCGCACGGGGACCGTTCCGGGCGCCTTGCTGTGCCTGGTGGCGCTGCTGCAACTGCTGGGCTCGGCGCCGCGGGGCTCGGGGCTGGCGCACGGCCGCCGCCTCATCTGCTGGCAGGCGCTGCTGCAGTGCCAGGGCGAGCCCGACTGCAGCTACGCCTACAGCCAGTACGCCGAGGCGTGCGCGCCGGTGCTGGCGCAGCGCGGCGGGGCTGACACTCCGGGGCCCGCCGGCGCCTTCCCCGCTTCGGCCGCGTCCTTCTCGCCGCGCTGGCGCTGCCCGAGCCACTGCATCTCGGCGCTCATCCAGCTCAACCACACGCGCCGCGGGCCCGCGCTGGAAGACTGCGACTGCGCGCAGGACGAACACTGCAGGTCCACCAAGCGCGCCATCGAGCCCTGCCTGCCTCGCACCAGCGGCGTGGGCCCAGGCGCGGGAGCGGGCTCGGTCATGGGCTGCACTGAGGCCCGGCGGCGCTGCGACCGCGACAGTCGCTGCAACCTGGCGCTCAGCCGCTACCTGGCCTACTGCGGCAAGCTTTTCAACGGACTGCGCTGCACCGACGAGTGCCGCGCGGTCATCGAGGACATGCTGGCCGTGCCCAAGGCGGCGCTGCTCAATGACTGCGTGTGCGATGGGCTGGAGCGGCCCATCTGCGAGTCGGTCAAGGAGAACATGGCCCGCCTGTGCTTCGGCCCAGACGCGGGCAACGGTCCCGGCAGCAGTGGCTCGGATGGGGGCCTGGACGACTACTACGACGAAGACTATGACGAGGAGCAGCGCGCGGGGACGGCGGGCGGCGAGCAGCCCTTGGACGATGACGACGGCCTCGCTCGTCCGGGCGGCGGCGCTGCTGCGGCGGGCGGCCGCGGGGACCTGCCCCACGGGCCGGGGCGCAGGAGTAGCAGCAGCGGCAGTGGAGAACACTGCGCGACCCGAGGCTCCTGGACCCGGCTTGTTTGCTTGCTGCTGCTGCTACTGCTGCTCGGGTCACACTTGTAGCCCTTGCGCCCCTGCTGCAGGCCGGTGCACGCGATCCGGCTGGTTCCCCAGCCGGGCACCTGTGGCTCAGGGGCCGGGGATGGTCTGGAACACTGACCACACTCTCCCTGGGTGGACAAGGGCCCAGCACATACCCCAGCCACCATGCCTGGCCCTCCACTGTGCGGTTTCCAGGCTGCAAAGATAACCGACTGATCTATCCTACCGCCTGGAATCTGCAGAATTCAGGACACCCCGCAAAAAGCAACGGAGGCCTGGACTCTGCTGAACGGTGGGGGTCTTCACAGACCCAAGGGACTGGGGGAGGGGATGTTGAAGGGAATTAGGTTTGCAAAGGGGCCGTTTTTTGTTTTTAAACAGTTTTCCTGTGAGGGGACACATAGTACTGGTAACGACTTTAATTGCTTGTGGCCACTGAGAAACACAGCAATCGTAAGTAAATAGAAGAGTTCCTTACCGATTCATTCCTGTACTCTTGCGCCGGGTGTGGAGCCGGCGATTGCCTTGTCTGGGTCCCCGAAATTACGTCTACATTATAACCTTAACCCCCACCTCAGTGTCACTGCCGCCGTTCTGATCACTGAACACCACGTTTCTTAGAATTAAGGGTCCAAAAGCCTGGCCTAAAGAGTTACCATGGTGTTGAACAATGCAAGTTTTTATCTTAAAGCTCTGTACTGCCATCTAGGAAAACCTCTGTGTGGTATGTGTTTTGTTGTCCTTTTTTGTTTGTTTGTTTTTTGTTTTGTTTTGACCAAGAAATTCTAAGTTTGAATATGCAGAGATTGAGTATTGCCTCTGCCCCTATCAGGGTCTTCCACCCTGGTACGTCGTATATAAACTGTATTAAAACTGGGGTTTCTTACCAGTTGCTGTACTTTGTATATAGAATTTTTATAAATTGTATGCGTCAGAAATAATTTATTTTTAAAAAGAAATTAAAAATTTTAAATCTGCATCAATGTTACATCACCCCCATCCAGGAAATGTATAGAACACATTGGTCACCAGGAACCCACTCACACAAGCCCATTTTGAAGTGTACCCTGTGTAGAACAGTCTTAAAAATGTACAGTGTATTTTACAGATTTGAAGTAACGTTCTTATTTTCAAGAGAATTTATGGACATTGTATAAATGCATTTCCAAACTGCCTTAAACATTGTATTTTTATAGACATCATTTTTAAAGTCCTGTGTTTTAAATAACTATGACTTTGTGTATCTTTTGGTTGTTTTATTAAGAATGCACACATCAGTAAAGAGTTTCAGCAGTGGCTTCCCTGCGGCTGCTCCCCACAGTCACACTGCGGTTAACCCGGTGGTGGGCGGGAGGGGGCTGGAGGGGGCACTGGGATTCCATCAGACATCAAGTGAAATTAAAGTGCAGTGCAAAACAGAATGTGAGCTAATGCCTTTAATTTAATGAACAATTAGATGTTTGTAAATGAGGCAGCTAAAACAATTTGTAACTGGCCTCTGCTGGTACTGTTGGCATTTGTGAAGAGAATTCACAAAATATTGTCTCCTGTGTGAGGATAACCTCCTCACTCAGAGACCCACCCTGCACACCCCCTCCCTTTTGCTCCTGACCCCCAGGAGTGTCCTCTCTGTCTTCTCATTCAATCAAACATGCCAATAACATCTGTTACCAATAGGTCTAGGAAGCCTACAAGACTCAATACTTCAAAGCCATTTTCACACTTTTGCTGGAAAAAAAATACAAAATTTTGTTACAAAACATTGAGGCGTGCAAAAGTAAACACACCATGGAGGGAAATAATCACCAGGACTGGTAATATTGTCCTGAGGAGCTGTTGAACAGTGGGCTGGAGGCTGGGTTTCCGCCAAGCTCCTGATGCACACTCAAACGCCCTTACATAAATAATTACACTCTTAAGCTGTGTCGAGTGCTGATACACTTGACCTTGTAAATAGAAATGTTTGCAGTAGGAATAAACTCCGGCATTGGAAAATCTTTTAAACATTAACACAAAAGAGAGCAGTCTGTCCTCTGGGGATTTGAGCCTGAACCTCGGCGAGCTAGGCACTTGCAAGGGGGAAAAAGTTTATTTATCTTCTATTCCTGGTGTTTATTTAAAGCTTTTCATTTTAAACTCGGTGATTGGAAGGCAAGTCAGGAGTTTAAAAGTCACCACAAATAAACTTTGTCTGAGGGGTCGACAGATTAGCAAGATCTGGTGTCTCTTTATTTGATATTAGCATGTGCTGAGAAAACAGCTAGATTTCTCTGCTGCCTAAAGTGATTAGCCAAACTGTGCCCTTTCCCACTCCTTCCCACCTACTCCCACCTCTGCTTTTGAGGCTTTTTTTTTTTTCCTGCCTCTCTCTTTTCCTTAGTTATTAGTGAGGAAGTCCAAACTTCTCTTCATGTCCCCTAAACCAAGATCCCCCATGTGTGGTACCAGAAAGCCATCAGCCTGGAGCCCAGGAAGAGTAGAGTGTGGTTGGACCGAAGTCACCTGAATGATTGAGTAAGCATAATGTTAAAACCGAGAGCAGCGTTTTTTGGGGGAGACTAAACAAAGAGTATTCCTAGAGGCTTGTAAGGGAAATCAGATTTTATTTATTTTTCATTTTCTTTCTTTTCTTTTTTCTTTTTTTTTTTTTTTTTACAAAAGGACTACAGGTTAGCAGTGCTCCTGCACTTTTGCTTAAATATATTTAAATCCTCTCGGTTCCCGATTATTTTAACACATTCTCCACTAGAAGTTAAGTCTTTGTCACGGTAAAAGCCCCGTTCTTCCCAGTAGTAAGTTACACAGCACCAGGAAAGGCCTGACAATTAACGGCTACAATAAACTCACGACTTGATTTTACAGGGTCCTGTCAGAGGCATCTGCCTAGAATAAATCATCACAGCTTAGTCTGGCGGGAGAGATGTGGCTTTATGCTTTCTCCCTTGAAGAAAGTGAACATTGATCCATGGCCCACTTACTTAAACAAGGAGATGCTCTAGCCTGGAGTCCCCCTGCCTCCGGACAGATCCAGTCCATTTCAGAGATGTGGAGCAATGGTTTTCAAGAGTGTGGTGCCTTTATACCACCAGTCAGTCCTCTGCTTCCAGACAGAAAAGATTTTTACAGATGTTGACATCTGCAATATCTTGAAGTCTCTAGGGAGGCCTTTGGAATTCTGGACATTTGGCAGGCTCAGATGTCTCTTGGAGATGCCTGGAAGGGCCATTAATGAGAGAAAAAGGTAGGTTTTTGGGTTTTGGGTTTTTTTTTTTTTTTTTTTTTTGGCTTTTCTGGACAATTTCCAGGAAGTTCCCCCACCCCCACCCCATGAGAGGCAGGGTTTGGATTTCATGTCTAATCTATCTCCAGGCTGTTTCCATCTCCTCAGTGAGTAGGTTGCGATTCTCTGTGACGGTTCATTTGTCTTTGGAAGCACTTCAGTGACAAATGTTTAAGGGAGTGTAGGACAATGGTCAGGAACAAGGGGGGCAGTTCATTGAACTGAAGTGACCATACAGTAAATAGAAGAGGTTCAGCTTCACTGCTCACCCGAGCACACAGCAAGGCTTTTGTATGTAACCACAATGGACATAGCATAAGGTCTCTGTTGATTTTTAACAATATATAGCAATGTACACGTGAAAGCCCCATATGTAAAGTGGGAAAATGGCCCTAGGAAAGTGAATTCGTCCACTCAGAGGACACCTCTACACTTGAATAGAAGTCCTACAGTCACCCATAAGGTAGGAGTAGCTCCTGGTCCCAAGTGTCACATAGTGTAGAGGCCATTGAGCTCTAACATGTTCCAAGGGGACCTCAGGCCTCTAGTGGAGTCCACAGGAAGACAGAACAGCATCCCTTTCTACCCTGGAGAGAATGGACAGTGATAGAAAGCAAGAGAAAGAACAGAGCATGGAGTTGGGAGGTCCTGTCCTTTTTTTTTTTTTTTTTTGCCCCAAGCTCGTGCATTTACCTCATCCCAACAGTGTTACACAGGATCCAAAGTCGGGATCCTAGAATGACATAAGAACATCCAGAAACATGCCACAAATTCTCAGCTTTCCAGTTTGGAGTTTTCTGTATGAGCACTCAGAACACACTGGAAGCTCCAGAATATACAGTCTGTGTATCTTTTCCAAAGCACAAAAAGGAAAAGTATGCCAGCATTGTTTTCTGACCCCTCACACCAAGAAACATGGGAAATGTTGTCAGTTGACCTGGCTTTCTCCCAGCTACTCCAGGGAGGATGGTGGGCGAGCATCAGGTTACACAAGCAGTGTGGCCTGGGCCGAGTCTCCAAGTGGGGCTGTCTGCGTGCCAGTTAAGTTGGACATCACTGTACTCTGTTTGAGAGATTGCTTCTGGAAGAGAGTTGACAAAGTTCACCCTTGACTATCCCGATGACATAAGTAATGTGCTGTTAGCATCAATACCCCCCAAGGCATCCGTTTAATCGATTTCGTAAATAACACAATGATCTACTACAAAATAGTGGACTGTATACACTATATTTTGGCACAAAGATGGTCATTCTCCCACTAGTAACCAGGGGCTCTAAATAAATGATTTCAACAATGTTTTATTAAAGGCGACAAGAGCCCTCGAGCTGCATTAATCGGGGAGAAGTCGAGTGGCACCTTTGTTATGGAAATGTTGAGCACATAATGGCAGGGCCAGACAATGTGTGGCCACTTCATTCTTTCAGCCATGCTGACACCTCTTAAAGAGGAACTGCAGGGAAGGATGTGGGAAAGATTTGCTTTCCTAGGAAGCTCTCAGCTCATATTTTGGAGAGCTACCTCCAAACGCTGTGTAAAATGAGGAAGCCAGAGGGCTCCTGAGAACATGGAAGGGTTTCTACTCCTTATTTCAGGGACCTAAGTCCCCTACAGACTAGGTATCTACTTCCTTTGTTTTTTGGCATGGCATTTCCAAAAAAATATTTCACCAATTGTTTTGAGTTGTTTTTAAAATGGCTCAAAGACTCTATCATGTTATGTCATGCATAGTTTGGACAGGGTCTCTTAAAGCAAATTGAAGCAATCTGAAGTCTGTCAACAGGTAAATATACACAATTATATCAAAGACATCTTCATCTGTGACCAAAGATAAAATAGTAGTGTCTGACTCCAGCCCCTCCTTTGTGGACACATTACGATCTTTTTTTTTTCTCAATATCTGTCTTATTAAGGTACCTACAGTGTCTAAGATCTTGGATATCAGTTCCTGAATACTGGAGAGGGCAACATTCCATAAGAAACTTACTGTGCATTTTATCCCTGATCAATCATACTAAGAACCATGTCCATGTCTCTGAGATGTGACCCTTTCTCAGACAGAATTCTTTTATGACATCGATGTCCCTCAGTCTTCAGGCTTTGTCTGTCACTTCTCGCTCATCAAATAGTTCCACCTATTTGGAGCATTTTTTTTTAAGAAGCTTTGAACATAGCTTTTCTGGCTGAGTGTAGTTGTTCACACCTTTAGTCCCAGCACTCAGGGGGCAAAGACAGGTAGATCTCTGTGAGTTCAAGGCCAGCCTGGTTTACATAGCAAGTTCTGGGACAGACAGGGCTATACAGAGAAACTCTGTCTCAAAAGAGAGGGGGGGAGGGGAAAGTAGCTTTTCTGTTGACTAAAATTTTGTCTGCAATACTGAACATGTAGAAGGGCATCAGACAGGTACAATTTCACAGACATCACTTAGGGAAACTAAACACAGTAGGATTATTCTCAGTCAATATGGGTACAGATAATTTTATCACACAATGAAAGAAGATGGTGGAACTGAGAAAAGCTGGAAGAAAGTGATACAGAGGCAAAGTCCATGGGTGATAAGTGCATTGTGTATGTATATGTATGTATGTGGCTACTCATCACTAGAGTATGATGTGGGAAGTAGCAGAAATGAAACTTGAAAGATGGGCTAACATCAGAATAGAAGCTTTGAAGGTCATGCCTGATATGAATTTCACTTTGCACAATGTCCAAGACAAGGAGTTTCTGACTGAGTCTGAGAACAGGGAGGCAGCTTTTGTAACAGGATATATGAACTTTTTTTTAAAGAGCTGAAGATCAGAGCAGGGCCCAGTAGACAAGCATCAGGGAAGGATGAAGGCAGACTCGAGACATTATGACTGGTTAATGTGGGTGTAAAGGGAGACAGAGGCCAGTGCAACGGCCCTGGGCTTCCAGGAGAGAGTTGGATCGAATCACCTAAGAGAAGAAGTT